ATTTGAATAATATACTTTATTTAATCAAAAATATCATTTCAACATGTGGCACTAACTTCATTTAGGTGCTTACTAGCCTCCTGTGGCTAGTGGCTGCCATATTGAAGAGCGCAGCCCTAGTACTGTCGCCTCTCCCAAGATGGTAAACTAAAACTAAAAGATGTTGGCATGGTGATCCCTATTACATTCCTATTTAAACTATTTGTTCGGCTAATGTCAGACCTAGATGTTTCTGTGGATAAATGCACACTTAATCACATCATAATATCAACTGCAGATGGCTGTTCTAGCTGTAGTATCTTTACTGGATCATATTAACATAACCACTGACACCAGGTATGAAGCTATTAACAATTTCTTTTAAAAATAATTCCTTATCAACGAAGATAATCAGAAGCAGTTTGCCTTTACATTGCAGGAACAGCATACTTTCACTATCTTACCTTCAGGTTAGGTCAATTCTCCTCTCTTTGTCATAATATAGTCCAAAGAAATCTTGTTCATCTTGACATCCCACAGAACATCAAGTTGGAACATTACATTCCTTGTATTATACTGATCGGACTTGATGAGCAGGAAGTAGTAAATACCTAAGATGCTTCAGTAAGATATATGCTAGAGGATAGGAGATCATCTCCATGAAAAGTTCAGAGACTTGCAACATTGCTGAAATGTTATGGGCCTAGTGGTCTGGGCAGGTTGAAACTGATCCTCTATAGCAAATGACAAATTGCTGTACCTTGCACCTTTCATCATGAAGAAGGTGGCACAAATGTGATGCTCTCTTTGGATTTTGGAAGAGGGAGATTCGCATCAGGTATGCTGCTCTGATCCACAAGGCTGCCAGTGTTGAGAGAGGACTGGAGCAAGAGAAGGATCTGCAGCACGCCTCTGCTGTCAAGAAAGCTGCCTTATACCTTTGGATCTAAGATCCAGAAATGCAATGATATTTGGAAATGTCTGTGGCCAACAGAGATGATATACAACATCTCTGTCAATAGGAGTATCAGAGTGCAGATCTTTTTTTGGAGTAAAGACACGTATCTTCTACTAATACTTATTCTCCATTTGCAAAGCTGCACCTAACTTGCTATTGCACTGTTTAAGACCGAGTACTGGGCCGTGTGACTCTACCTGACTATGTGGCCTAAACGACACAAAATGAACTAGATGTTATCTCATTCAACATAACATTTAAAAAGATGTGCACAAAAGCATTTTATTGCTAAATGAAACTAGAACCGTGCAGGTTTGGGAAGTCCAAGTACATTTCACAAGGAAGTGGTTCAGGTATCCTTGATACCTGCTATTACTGCTTCACAATCTCTCCTCAACCCACACCTATGGCCTCACAGGGTGTTCTCAATGATCAATAAGTGGAGGGTGAAACTGTGTGAACCTAGTTTGTAAATGGATTCAATGGTATTTGGTAAGATCTGTGACCAATGTGCTAAACATACTGAAGGGGACTGGCCCTGAAATGCAGTGGTGAAAGGATATCCACCTCCCCGCTGAATTTCAGACTGCACACTTTGCATAAAAGGAGGGAGACTGAGGTAATGATACATGGCATGGCTATATGGTCAAGGACTTAGAAAAAGAAGACTGGAAGACTAGTGATAGAAGGTTTGGGAGAGAGTTATTGAATGTACCTCTCACAATTGGTACAAAGTGTGATGGCACTTAATAATCTGGGCAAGATTACCTGATGGGTGACTCAAATCAATCGGTCTATTTTATGAATGTTGGTCAGATTCTTTGCCTAGCTACTCTGATGCTTGCTCAAGTGAGTGGCCCGTGTACAAAGTGACAATGGGATGGAAAGCATGCATGGATTCAGCAACACAGACTATCTCCTCTCTATGACAGATTTCACAACTACCACTGCTGAGTTCACAGCTTTCTAATGCTGAGGCTCTAATACGGCACCACTCCTCAGCAGGATTAACCAGTCAATTGGTGGCAAGTAGGTTACATTGGACTCCTTCCAATATGAAGGAGAGAAAAATTTATCTTCATAGGAAGTAATAGATATTCATGATATAGACTTACCTCTCCCTCCTTTAATACTTTTGCAAGCTCCTCTATACATGGATTTAACATAATGATTTACCAATGACCATGGTATTCCTTAAAATATTGTGCCCTCAACCAGGAAATTCATTTTATGGCAAAGGAAATGTAGCAATCGACTCAAACCTATATATTTCACTGGTCATACTCATGTCCCATCATCCAGAATCACCTAGCTAAATGGAGTGGTAAAATGGCCTACTAGTGGAATGGTCCATGTATGGTTGCCAAGTGGGTGTGTCTACAGGATATGATATATGCCCAGAGCCATCTCTTCCACAGCATCAATGCATGAGTCTGAGAACAAAGAGGAAGTGAGGTAGGAAAGACCACAATAGAAATACATCATGTAACTCATTTTAAGGATTTTTACTTCCTGTGCTGAAATGAACTCTTGGGATTGGGGGTTCAAGAGCTCTCAGTGCCTAGGGGAAGACTGTTTCCACCAGGAATCAGAGTCCTAGTACTGCTGTATTGGAAGGTGAGAGTACTCCCTGGCTCTTTGAGGGCATCTCAAGCTGCTGAACTACAAGGAGAGAAGTGGGCTATTGATTGGTAATTTTTCCAGATTACCAAGATGATTTGGGGGCAAGAACAACTATGTTTGGAACACAGGACACTTCTTTAAAAAAACTTGCCCAATAATCACGGTTATTGAAAAACTGCAGTAATCCAAAAAGGCAGGAACATGAGATACTCAGAATTTATAGAAATTAAGGTTTGGGTCACCCATCAGGTAAAGAAATCGTCCAGCCCAGGTGCTATAAAGAAGGTAAAAGAAAGAGAATTGGTAGTAGAAGAAGAATGCTCTAATGATTAATTTGAGTTTTCTGACCAATTAGAGAAGCATGGATTTTAGCTGCTTTGTTTTATGTTCCAGCTATTATGAAAAACTTAGGTGATGGCTAATATTTTAGATTCCAGTTGGAAGGATGACTGAATTGATATCATCCCTTGATGCTGCAGTAACTAGATGACACTGCTCTCTCCTTCTCATCACTCCGCTACTCTCTTTAATTAGCCAGTTTGAGTACACTGTTTATATATCTGCAAAAATCATGACTTGGTATACCAAATTGCAAAATCAGCATGCCTGTAGTTATAAGGACAATGTTTTTAGGTCCATACCTCAAAGTAGCAATATATACAGTTTCACAGAAATAGCTTTGCTTCGTACACACAAACTTTATAATTATGTAGAACCATGTAAATAATGTTGAAGGTCTGGCCTGGCCAAAGCCAATGAGAATGGCTTACTTTTGGAGTATGATTTTTCCCACCCCTCACTTCATTACCTACCAACCAGGTGCCCCCAGATGGGCCATGCCTAATTTGCATAAAGAAGCTGATTGTAGCTGCTAAGCTCAATCTAACGTAAAAACCAAGATGTCTTGTTAGACACCACTCACAGGGATAGATCTGTTAAAAGAACAAAAAGGAAACCAAGGAAACAAAACTCAAGATGAATATCGAATGCCTTCAAGAGGTGTCACCACACATTGAAACTTCTAAGAATAAAGCAATCACCAGTAAAGAAACATGTATACAGTAAACTATGATATTGAAAACAACATAATTTTATAAAGAATAAAATCGACATTTAAAGTTATTTTTACCTCAATTTCATGTAACAAATAAAAAGCTGTGTTTTATATAATCCTTGGTCAACTCAATAATATTTTAATAAACCAGAGCACATGGCTACCTAATAACTGTCATGTCTTTAAAATAACTTTCAATAAAAAATGTTTTTATAATATCACTTTAAAGTAATTTTTATAGCATAATTTCAAAATAAAATATAAAATGTTTGAAATAAGTGAATTACATTCGGTCAAGAAGGAAAGTAAAATATATACTTAAAATATTTTGTTTTAACATTTGCATTAATTTCATTTTTTTGTAACTGCCCTAAATTTGAGTTAATGTCTAAAATAGTTGTACACATTTCATGTACAACTATCTTTCATTATCATACTAATGTTAAAAAAACTAAAGAAAGTCTTAAGGTTTAACAGGAAAAAATGTAAAGAAAGATAATACAAGCATTAGCTCAAAATCTACAGCACTCTGTAATACCATTTTTCAATGTAGATGAAAATATCACTTCTATCATATCTTTATATTAAAATAAAATTTTAATATGTCACTATGGATAGCAGGAACATATAAAACTGGCTTGAGAGTATTCTGTATTAATTCTCCACCTTTAACTTCTTGGTTATGGCAATTCATGTAATAGTCAAGTAAGATTAATTCAGATTTCTAATCATTCTCTTTCATGTACTATATTCTAGCATTTTTTTAAAAAAAACTTATTCCAAGATTTTTAATGATGATTTAGGAAGCAGAGAAAAGTTTCATAGATCATCAAATGACTATAGTTTGAGAGTTAAAAAAAGAAATGGTGTTAAAATAAAATACTAACTACCCTAATAGCAAATTTTCTAATAAGCATAATATTTTCAAGTTTAAAAATAGCAATATTTGATTTCCTACTGAGGCTCCAGTCTGAGCACTATACCAGTCAAAAAATATCACAGCTTTCATCTCTTCTATGATAACATCAGTATGTAACTATGATATGTCACTAGATTTTTCCATTATTTGGAATTAACCATAATTACTGTACTAATAATTACATTAAAAAAATCATAGAAACCTTATGTAACGGCTATTTCCTTACTTCAGTGGCTTGAAATAAGACAGTTTTCAGTAGACATTGCTCCTTTTTCCCACGTCTATAAGTCTAAAAGGGCCACATGCATCCTACAAGATTTACCAGTTATTCAATATACACAAATAAAAGGATTGTCTAGTTCATTCCTAGCTATGTATTAAAGCTTTAAGTTACTGTGTATTATTCTGTAGCACTCTCTCGAATTCTCAAATTTTAGCTTTCTTCTCAAAGAGTTGGTAACACTTACCAGAGTGGGTCCTGAGGTGTCCTGTGAGGGCATCCCTTCTTCTACAGGCATAGCTACAGAAAGGACATTTGAACGGCTTCTCTCCAGAGTGTAACTTTATGTGTCTCAGAAGGTTGCCCTTCTGAGTAAAAGAAGCTCCACACTGGTTACAGTGGAAGGGACGTTCACCTGTGGAAGGGTAAAGAGGTGAGAGATCAGAGAGGTTATGTGCGAGTGGCTGATTCACCATACACTGTTAACTAGAGCCAGTTCTCTGTACTGAGGATATCCATTCCCTCCTGAGTCTTCCTAAACTTTTATCTTCCTAGAATTTGATCTGCTAATACAAAGTCTCAGACTTTAGGTCAAATGTCTTTTCCCCTCTTCATATAAATTTGCAGGATTCTTGTCATTGATTCAAAAGAATAACAGGACTGACAACTGGTTGAACAACTAGGTGCTATTAGTTTACTGACTTTACATACAATATTTCAGTCCTCATAATGACATTACTAATCAGGTATCTATAATTTCAGTTTACAAATGAAGAAATTGAAGTTAAAGTATCAAAGCATGTGATTATAGTAACAGAGCTAATAAGTTCTTGAGCTGATAATTGAATCTCGCTCAGTTTGACTACACCTTGCTCTCTTTACTGTACCATGCTCTCTTAAAAATCACATAGATTTTGAGTTGAAAAGGAGCTTTAGTCTAACTCTCATTTAGCTGATAATATTCTTATCAGGGGACTGAAGAAGTTCAGTGAATGAACCAGGTTCAAAGCTCATTACTACAAAATATCTAAATATAGCTCAGGTCTCTCAATTCTCCTAGTCACTAACAGTAAAACCTTTGGCAAGTTTCCTTATATAACCATGGAAAATTCAAGAAAATTATTCATTCAGACATTTCCTGTATATTCTCTTTTTTTGTTGTAAAAAATCATTTGTTTGAAAGGAATCTTTTCTCCTATTGCTATAAAACTGTTTAAGCCATAATTAGCAGTTCAGTTTGTTATCATTAACTGGCTACGCACCAATGTCATCAAACAAAAACACGTAGTTGATGAAGCAGTAAAATGGCAAGTGTATTAAAGTGATACCATTAATCAAACTATGAAAAAAGTACTACTGTAAGTTTGTCTATCTCTAAAAATAGACATGATATATATTACAAATTAATATATAAATAGCATAAATATTTTAAAGCTCAAAGTTTAGAATAAAAATAAAATTAAAAATAATCCCCTTTTGGTTGAACTGGACAATTTCTGTACTTGAGGTTGGATGATCACAATTTTAATAGTTTAAAACATTTTTTTGAACACAATCATCATGTTTTATATCTTTAAGTGAAACAGTAATAATATTAGATTACGAAACCTCAATATTTTGGGGTGACCTTTAATATAACAAAAACTCAGTGATTCTTTTTATTATAGAAAGGTGGGAAGCATAAAAAAGAAAACTGTGGTCCCTTTCTATTAGCTGCCACTGCACATTCTATCATATAGATTTGTTATAAACTCTAAAGAAACTGAAAAGTAGATACATCAGGTATGCAGTACTTGCTCATTTTAGAATTTACCAAGACAAGACACATACCAAAAAAGTGTAATCTGTGTATGCGCAGCAATGGTCAAGGTTTTTCTTAAGAAATCTGTAGATCTTATGAGCTAAGTTTATAAAAAGTCCTATACTGATGGAGAGGTTGAAAACAAAAATTATCTATCATGCAAAGTTACCTTAAATTTTATCTTAATTAACTTTTTTGATTCATTTGGTAAAACTGACAAATTAAATAAACATTGAGTACAGCTTAAAAGAGAAATACTTTACCTAAAACCTCTCATATGAAGTCTTACAAAACAGTTGACCTTTTAAAATAAATCTAATTTGGGTAAACCTTTTTTATTTTACACATACACACATTCCTGTGCACACACGCACACACACACACACACATGTAAAATTTAATTCTTTGACATTTTTTCAGTGGGATAGCAGTCTACAGCTTTTTAAAATCAGGATTTTCTATTCCCCACACCTACTATGGAATTAGTAATAAAAAGGCAGGAGACACTTTCTTCATGAAATTAACTTTTTAGAGAGTATGAAAATAGAAATGTAAATTATAAATTTAACTCCAAATATTTTGCTTTTCAAATCTGTCTATGCAGGGTTTCCCAGGCAAGTAATAAATTAGTATGCAATAACTTTATAATGAATTAAATTAGGGTGGTGAACAAAAACATTTGAAATCATGTTTGCCTCTGAAAAGTACTCCAGTAGCATATTAATTATATTTTCTTTAAGCCTCTTATGATTCAAATATTTTAAAATCTCTAATATAGAGAGCTGTACTTATCATTCTAAATAATGCTAATCTAAAAAAGAAAATATATAAGGACAAGTCTTTTAAAAATAATTTTTAAATTCATCTTATTGAGTTTTATGAGATTAATGACAGGGTCATTTAGTTTTTACATTTACAAAATATTCCAGATAACTTCAAATATTTTTTAAGAACTATAATCATCCTTAAAAGAGTAGGAGAAATGAAAATGGGTCTAGGTATATTGGGAAATATCGCTGTGTTGCTGAGTGTCTAAATCCTAGAGTGGAGGCATTTGCTATGCTCCCAAGGCTATGGGAAGTAAAGAAAGAGGCATGATGAAGGTGAATGGTCATGCTCCCATTATGGATAAGAAAGAAGAGGCAATGTTAATAATGTACTTTAATTTCAATCAGATAAACCTTTGAGATGTACTGATTGGCTTTATATGAATTAAATCTTAATTTTTTAATTCTTGGATACTAATTCTTTGGTTTTACTCATTTTGGGCTAATTATGCTTAACTACTCTTAATGTCTTGATTACATAACGACAATTATTTCAACAATCTTCTGGGTTTTTTTGCATGTATTCCACACTAAATCTAGTTGGAATTACAGTGAAAATTCTCAGTGACATCACTGCTAGAGACAAGGATGAAAACAGAGTTTAACTTATGAGACTATTTTTTTTTTTTTAGAATACATTGTTATATTCCGGGGATAATCCAAATAGAAGAGTCATATCCTAATCTGTTTAATAACAAATCAAAAATAAGTGGGTTGACTAATTATTTTCTAAAACATCATCCCTGTAAAATGTGAGCAATCCTTTTATTAAATGTTTTGGGATTTTCCTGGCCTAGCATTATAAAAATATGTGTAAAATGATCTGATAATTATGTAAAACGTTCAGTTAACAACCTATATTGTCTATGTAATTTGAAACAACACATCTCGATTATTTCTTTTTTATAATTTGTATTTTCTTTAATAAATAGACTGTATCGACTGGTCCTTTTCTAGCAGTTTTAACTTTGTCTGGAAAAAAATATTAATCACATTCTTCTTGAGATGTAAATAGAGCAAATCTCAGGAATATCCCACAAATTTACTAAACATATTAGTGACATTACAGAGTAATCCAATTTAAAAACTCAAAGTAGACTACTGTATTTGGGAAAACTAATCCTCCTGTGGGTAGGCACAAAAGTCTGGATTAACAACTCTCAATTCAGGAAAACATTAAGATGCAGCCATGCTAGCCTTCATTTTCATTCTCATTCTGTTTTTGTTTTGTTTTTTTAATCAATCTACTAATCTACTCAAGGACCATTTTAGTTATTCACTGGATGAAGTTATCTATTATTCTTATGGAATAATTAAATTCTATTTCAATATTTTATAGACTTTCATAAACACATATTTCTAGATCTGTCTTTAAATATTATATTGAAATGTAAGTGTATATGCATTAACTTGCTTTGGTGAATCAAAGACAGAAGGTGTTCCTGTGTTGGATGGAACCACCACCTATGAATATGAGAAATCCCAAGCACCTGTAGAGAGGGCCTTGGAGCGAAAGAATGGCTCCACAAAACTGCAATGTACAAAATATTGTGCTGAAAACTTGAAGTTACAAAGATGAGAGTACTCTATCCCAAAAAGGGGCAATGTTAAGGATAGTCTCTACTTATAATGTTTGTATCAACTCATGTTTATGCTTGAATCGACTTACTACGCCCCTACTCTACCTGTATTCTCAGTGAAAAATGCCTGGAGTATCTGATGACAATATTACCTGATTACCTACTAAAGTTGCAATATCAAAGAAATAACACTAAGCCATTAATAAGACACTGGAATTGGCTCTTTAGTAGAGTATGAAAGAGAAAGAAGTGAATTAAATCTGATACTCTGTCATTTTAATGAATTGAGTGGTTGTGTATTCTTTTTCACTATTAATTCTATATTAGATATTCTATGAACTAAAAATATGGAAACATGTTTCCCCATAGCTTTATAAGGATTTAAGACAGTGCCTTTTATACTAGCTAAAAATAATGGGTGAGACAATTAGATGATTTTATAATCAAAATAATTCAACTCTACTACAGTAGTAAAAAGTAAGTGGACAGTAGAGTAGGTATGTAATTATTACTGTGTTTACAAACCAACAACCCTTATGAAAATCACTTCAGATAGTAAAACATTAACCTAAATTATCAAGAGAGCATACTCAGGTTCTTTGAATTTTCTTAATTCTCAGACCATAAAAGGCTTATTAAAAGTCTTACAAAAATTGTTTTTAGTATACTTTTTAGCCTTAAAGAGAACGCTGCATACAATTCAACTGAAAAGTCTTTAGACTAATTTTTTTTAGTTTGTATGCTGCTAGATGGGAGAAGTTAGACATTTGAATGAGTGTTATCTTCCTCAATATTTTTACTCTGAGATAATGAATACATTATAATTTTATGGAACTCTTAGAACTGCAGTTAGAATTATTTCCTGAGCATAGAAGAAAAGTAGACTCCTTATTTTATTTAATACTTTTTCTTTCTTATCAAATATGGTATCCATACTTGATCTTTTAACTTTTTCATGAGACTTTTTTTTAATTAAAACAAAAAAAGGATTTGCACTAGTAATATAAATATTACTCTAAAATTTTTAAATAAAGATATTTTTAAAATATAATGTTATTTAAAAAGAAATTTCAAAACAAAACAAAAAATAAAAATGTGACCGTATGGTTAGAATAAGGGTATAAGCTCTAAAGTTGATTTTGATTAAAATAACACTGATTTTAATATGTAACTTATCACTATAATGTTTAAAGTTATCAGCCTTATAGTAATACCTCATCAAAAAATGTAGGTATATTGATATACCAAGCACAGTATATTTACACAAAACCACTCTGGACATCATAAAACCTTGATTCTAGCCTCACATGCCCTTAACTTACTAAGGGATATGGATAAATCACTTGACTATTTTGGGCTTCAGTTTCTTCATGTGTAAATGAGAAATCTGGATGAAAAAACGCTTCAATGTACCTTGTATCTCTCATGTTTAAGCACTGACTTATTAAATTGATCTTTTAGAAACCAACCTTTTAAATCAATTTTGTACTATAATTAATCTCTTTTCCAAAAGAGTACCATATTTTAAAACTCTGAATGTATTAGTTATTAATATCTTGCCATATAATACTACTTTACATTATTGTTAAAGTGATCATTACCTTTAAATCAATTTTCATATGAACTTGAAACTTTTTTTAAGAGTCAACAATCTGCCACAATCACATTTTTGTCCCCTACCCACCACGCTCCCAATGATTTAAAGAGATTTAAATAAGGCCTTCTCCTTTGGCTGTTTTTTTACATGACTCAAATGTTTAAAAGTACATAATAAATTAACCTGAGGTCTCTTTCCTCGCCCTTACAGATTCCTACCTGCATACCCACAATTACAGATTCCTACCTGCATACCCACCACCCTCTGTTATACCCCACACTACATACCTCCTTGCCAGGAAGTTGGTAAAATGATCAAACTAGGGAAAATAAGTATCTGCGTACTACAGAGACATGTAGTAAGCAAAAACTGATTGGAAATTGTATTCCAAGAAGTTAACTAGATAAGGTGAAAATGATCCACCCCTATATAAATGCATGAGTACCATTTTATAGTATAAACTCTTAGCTAGCAAACTGTATTACCTGCCCATGGGTATGGTAAAATATGTATAGAAATACAAAAAGATTAAGTTACACAACGAAATTCTCCTATACCTTTTGAACCCTTATCATATTATTGCTATATTAAGAACTGTGGAAACTGAATCCCAAACTTCTTTTCTGATATGCTATTCAGATTTGAAGGCTGGAAGTCAAGACCCAGGCTACTCTCTGCTTTTCAGCAATCCAATACTAGCAGAATTCTGAAAAGGTAGTTTCACCATTGCCACCCCTGAATAAAAAGGAAAGAGAATAGATGTCAGGTAATATCAACATCAGATGTCACAGGCAGTCATCAGGTTATTCTTTCAGCTGCTTACCAGTGTGACTCCTTTTATGTACCATAAGCACATTGGGCCCAATGCAAACCATGCCACAGACGTCACATTTCAGTTTACCATTCGGAAGCCGGATTCCTCCCTCGCCTTGAAGGTCCTGGACTTTCCTGTTGTCAGCCACCTCGCTGCTCTCTATTAGGGGTTCTTCTAGGCTGCTACCCTCATCATGGCCCCTGATCTCGTCTTCTCGGCTCAGGGGTTTCCTGTCACACTCTTCATCACTCTGCATTTCTAGCTTTACTGAATTTGCTGTAATTTAAAAAAAGATGACATTTTAAATGCATGTTACGTGTTGTCACTTACATCTCTCTTCCACCCACTATCGTTCTATTAACACAGTCAGGAATGCTGTATTAAGTCGAATACAGCCCATTACCAATGCAACCATAACATATACTCTATGATATCTTATTAAAGCTTTGGCATGAAAGTAGAGATGGCTCAGGAAAGCTCTAGGTAAACAGACTGACACTTTATTTCTGCACACATTTATTTCTTTAACTCAGTTATATACTTTTAAAGCAAGTCCCTAAATAATTCTTGTATTGGCTTTCAAGTCTGTCACTAAGGCTCCTGAGACTGAGGTAGGACTATGGAAAAGATAAGATACTGCTTAATCCACTGAGCTATACCTCTTCTTAATTTAACAATCATTATACACACACACATACACTTCATAGTCTGTGTTTCATGGCAGAGTACTTGTGTAAACCTGCTTCTGAACTGAGCAAGAGAAACAACTCGAGATCTTAATCCAGCAAATGTCTTAGACATTTGAAGCTATGCCGTCAAAGCAAATATCCTAAAATCAGACTAAACACATACATTCAGTTAAGAGCTGTATAAATGTAGGGCAGAGTACACAGACCTCACATGCTCTTAAGCTACTCTGCTTTTTTTTCCTATATGAAAAAAGTTCTCCATGGAACATATTAGTCTGCAAATCAAAGTATTCCACCTTCAAAATGTACACACCAAAAAGCAGTGAATGACAGGAATGGCATAGCCTGCGTGCATGCACTTGTGACTGTGAAGAAATTTAATGCCTTCTGTTTGCTGTTTTTGGATCATCCCACAGAAAAGTTGGAATTTTGTTAGCACAGCCCTCATTCTGGATTGCTGACAGAGTCTTTTCACAAAGCAGAAGCAAGTCTTAAATGAATACCAGTTTTTTCCTGAATATTTCTTAAGAAATCATATCAAGGTTACCGAGCAAAACAAATTATTTGGTATTACTTGAATAGAGGAAATATTTTCATATAAAGGAAGTTCTTTTTACTGTAATTGTTTTCTTAGAGAAACCACACATTCTGTGACTTGTCACTAGTACTTATGACAGTTAGTGTTATCAAAATGGCTCTTCCCCTGTTCCCTCCTTGGAACTCCCCTATCAGCCAGAGGCAGAGTGGTACAATGAGATCACTGGATTTAGAAAGAACATTGTTCTGGTGCTTGCTGGTTTAGACGTTTACTAGCAGTAAAATCGTCAACCAATTATTTAACCTCTGAGTCTTATGTCTTTGATTTGCAAAGTGGAGATGAATTCAGACTACATAATAAAGTTGGAGCAGAACAGTTTTGCTATTAAGAGTGAGGATCCTGTAACTGCACTGCCTAGATTTGAATGCTAGCAATGGCACTGAGAACAAGCAGCGTCACCTTCTGCAAGTTACTTAAGTTCTCTACGTACTCTATTAAAATGGTACTCACTTCCTAGGGCTGATGTGAGCATTGAATCAGTAAATGTAGAAAATGGGCTTAGCTATTATTTTTCTCTGGACTATAGTGCTCTTTTCTATAAGGTTTTTGTGCAGATTAATTAACTTATAGTATGTAAACTACTCTGAGATCTAAAAGGGATATATAGCCTTCCTGGCCTCATCTCTTTTACCTTATTTAGAAATCAGTACTGCTTTACTGATTTTTGAGACAAGTTGGGACAATATTTTACCCATCTTAAAATCCCCAACAAAGTCATGAAATTTGTGGCGGTAAGGTGTTTTAAGAATTTTCTTTCTTTCAACTTGTTTTATCTGTTTAAAGAATCCATGAACGTGGTAAAAAATTAATCAACTTGAAGTATAAAAAATAAAAAGTCCTTTTCAACCTAAAGTTAGCCATCCCTTAGTTCCGGTCTCAAATGCAATCATTATCCTCATTTTCTAAATCTATTTTCTGTATTTACATGTATGTGTGTACATACAGTCATTTTACACAAATGAGACTGTACGATTCACCTGACTTTAACTTTACTTTGTTCATTTAACAATATCTGTTTAATATTTTCCACATTAGTACACAGAAATCTGCATTGTTATTTTTAATATCTGCACAAATTCCATTTTACAAATGTACAGTAATTTATTCATCCAGGTTCTATCAAGAAATTTAACATTTCTTATTTGTTACTATTACAGGCATTGTGTATCACCGCATAGAACTGTCAATCTAATAGATAATAATTGGTATCTTACTCTAGTTTTTAATCTGCATTTTTTTTATTACAAGTGAAGTTGTGTATCTGTTTCTATGTTTAAAGTTTTTTTGGCGAACTATCAAAGTTCTTTGCCCATTTTTCTAGATTGTTAGTCTTTTCTCACTGAATTTAAATGCTTTATATACTAAGGAATTTAGCCCTATGTTTGATATGTTTTGAAAATATTTTGGTTCACTTTTTTACTCAAGGGTATTTTTTGGCATGCATTCTTATTATACATTTTGAATTTTTTTATTCTGTATCTTGCTTCAACTGTTTTTTTTCCTTACTCCGAAAATATTCTTCCATGATATTTTTTTTCTGGGAAGGTTTTTCTAGTCAGGATAAAATACTATTTGGTTACCACATGTAATCTCATATTTCACTCATAACTGTCATTTAAAGGAAAAATTAAGAAAACAAATGAAAAGTATGACTTTATGTAGCATTACTTCATATACCAACCTATGGGCAAACTGCCTCATACATTTATTTTAAGTAATATACTAAAGATAACAAATTTTACAGCAATGCCATCATTTATTTCTCTGAACTAGTCAACATCTGATAAGGTACATTTAATAAATAAAAAGTTGACCAGCATTCCATTTCAGGAACTGAAGAAAAACTACTCTAAAGGAGTAGTTTTTGAGTCAAACTATGGGCCTCTTAAATTTCTAAATAGCACAGAATTATGAGAATTTGACTTGATGTCAAATTATCATATTTTCCATAGTGAAAATACTATAATATGAACACTAAAATATCAAACATGGGTAAAAATGTCATTTGAAAAATAGATATTACCGTTATACTTAGAACTTTCTATCCAAAGAATATACCTGAAAGGAATATCAAAAAGTATATATTTGCTAGAACTGAAATAGAAAAAAAGGTAAATTATAATAATCTTTAACAATATTATACCCTAAGGAACAATACATTTACCAAGTATGAGTGTATACACTATAGCTGTACTAATAGAGTAAATCAATAAACTGCAACACATTTTAATACACACACATCAGAGATTAAATTTTGCATATATATGGTGGACTATGTACAAATGAAATCCCATCCTAATTAGTTTTTAACCCATCTCACTAACATTATGTTGAAATTCTAGGATCAAAAACAAAGTAGTCTTTAAATTTTAACTGTGAAATAGAAAAATATTTTCCCTACTCAAAGAAATATAAAAGAAATTCTCCCACGGTTTATTTTCACTATTTAAGATGTTTCTAATTAATGCAGAGCACTTAATATTTTAACTCAACGATTAAATTCAAGTGTTAGTAAACTTAAGTATACTCTAAATTACAATTTGTATGTTAACAAAAGCTGTATTATAATTATTTATAGCTATACTATATAAAGCTATTATAACTATTATTCACTATAAAATAACTATGTACATTAGTTATCGAATCTTTGAAATTATATTCTCTCTTCTTTATATAGTATTTCTTTTATAATTTGGTAACAGGAAGAAATTTTCATAAATGGGCTAATTTCTATAAAGATGAGAACTTGTTAGTGTGCGTGACATGAAATCTTGTCATTACAAATCTCAACACTAAGAATTATTTTTTTAAGCTTGTTTGCAATATATGAAATGAAAAATATAAAATTCAGGAATATCTATGGGAATTTACAAACATTATTATATACTGACAAGCAATAACAGCTTAATAAAAACTATATTCTATCAGAAGAAATTATTAGTAGTGAAAAGGGGATATGAAATAAGATTTTAATAAATTGACTGATTTGTTCTCTACAGTATGTAGATATGTGAATATTTTCAATGAATAAAATAAAGATATTTAAGATAGGTATCTTTTTTCTTAAGTGAGAGATATGTTTTATAGTTTAAAACAAAGAAAAGTCATGTTTCCCAGCATTAATGATCAAGAACAAGTTATATTGACTTTTTTTTTAGTAGACTCAGAGCTTTAAAAACACATGGAAAGGATAATAATAGTTAATAGAAAAAACTTTTATGATTAACATAGAAAAAGCTTTAAATATGTTTCAGGATAAAAAGTTCAACATATGTATTTATGCAAAAAAATTGCTTCATAGTGAAAATATGTTTATGAATGAAAGGTTCCTCCCCCTTTTGTTCATGCTTTCAAATACTATTCTTATTAGCATATACCTTACAGATGCTAATAAAAACATGTAGCTTAATCACCTCTGTTTACAAATGATCACAGCAACGCTATAAAGTAAAGAGATTTAGGAGATCTTACTACAGGTGACTCTCAAGCCAAACGATTTTCAATTTCAAAGTTTCTTTGAAATTGCACTCAAAAGTTTCATAACTATCATAGTTTCAAAAAACAATACTGAATGGATAAAGAGATACCAGACTTGTTTTTAATTCACTTATAGGGGATTAAATAAAGGAATAAGGAAATAAGGATATTTACACAGGCAAACAGATATAGCTCACTATAAAAAAAGGGGAGGGGACCAAATGGGGAAATATTGTGTTATTTTGTGAAGGTGTTAAAAACAAGTTTTTAAAATTTGGTCTATATTATAATGAGCATTGTCTTTATCACTATTATACTTTGAAAATAAAAAAGAGAATTCAAAACCCCAATGTAAACCATTTAAAAATGAAATAGAAAATAAAATGTACCATGTATATACCTCATACTTGAATTCACGTACCTCAACCAAAGAACCAAAACTGAATTCTCTCAATAAATACTGGCCTGTTCAATGATTTTTAAAGTACCTGCTACTTGCCAACACTTTGCTA